CCATTAAATTATAATATTACAACTCATATACTATTAAATATGTTTCCTTTTAAATTCAAATTTTAAATTTTAAATTTCAAATTTATATAAATTTTTGTTTAAATCTTCATATTTAATTTTTTTTGTTTTATCCAACCCGTATAACATACGGGTCATACAACTAGTGATTAATAAAATACAGTCAAGTATATCACAAGTCGAGAATACCCGATTTATACAACATGAACACATAAATACAAGTTCCATTTATTATACAACCACGCCAAGTAAACAAGATCAATTTCCTTTTAACCACAATTGCTCAGATTAAATAGATTTGCGTAAAATAATGAAATCCAATCATTACTTTTCTTTTATTTAAACAATATTTTTTATTAAATTTTTTCGCACCATCAAATTACGTTAAAAATTAAATTTGTTTAAAAGTCGATGTTATCAATTTATTGCTAACGACCCAAATTTTGAACTGTAACATATTATGTATCGACCCATACAGTATTTAGTGTGACGACAGACGAGAATATCGAAGGGCATTTTGGTAATTTCATAAATGGTGGTCAAATTTGGTCGAATAGATTTCGGTACCATTTACGTTTTTAGATTATTTAATCAAGGGAAAATACGTATTATTTATAATCTTAAGGACCAAAAATGTAAAATTCTACCCATGTTTTCGAAAGAGAGAAAAAAGGGGGGAATATCGGAGATCATGGCAATAACCGTCTTAACCGTCACTATACACCCACCCTCTAATTGCAGACAAATTCACTGAATTTACAGAGAGAAAAGGGTTGCAGTGTGTGAAGCGTGTGCGAGAGAGAAAATTGAAGAATCAATGGAAAGGGGAAGAATGTATGACGAAATGGGGGAGATAAAGAAAGGGCCATGGAAGTCAGAAGAAGATGAAGTTTTGATGAAGCATGTCAAGAAATACGGACCCAGAGATTGGAGCTCCATTCGATCCAAAGGCCTTCTTCAACGCACTGGAAAATCTTGTCGTCTTCGTTGGGTCAACAAACTCAGACCCAATCTCAAAAAGTACCACCCTCGATAACTTTCTCCTTTAAAATTCATCAACAACGCGTCTGTTATATCCAATTCCCCATCTGTTTTTCGAGTTTTAGTCCCGCGAATTTCGAAAATTGAAGTGATAATCGATGATGGTAACCGGTAGCGTTCGTTTTTGTCTTCTGTACTTCGCACACACAAACTGTTCGTGTTTATGTCTGTGTGTGAGAGATTTCATAGAGTATAATAATTCACGTCGATATACTGAGTTTTTGGGTTAATATTGTGTCTGTATGCTTCTTTTAGAAATGGGTTTCTTGTTATCAATGAAGAACTTGGAGTCATTGTGTTCGTCTTTTACTGTTGCAAGAACGCAAAATTTTGCCTTCATTTTATATGGTTGTTCGCCAATCGTTTATGAACTTTTGATAAATTGAAATTAAATTTTAATAAGGTTTCTTGTAATTTTGTGTTTTTCTTTTTCTTTTTGACACAATTATATCTAATTTCACGAAGAACATGCATCTGATTTCTATCTGTGTGTGTGTGTGATCAGTGGTGTGAAGTTTTCTTCAGAGGAAGAGAGGGTAGTGATAGAACTACAGGGGCAATTCGGGAACAAATGGGCAAGAATCGCTACGTATTTGCCGGGAAGAACAGATAACGATGTGAAGAACTTCTGGAGTAGCAGACAGAAGAGATTGGCTCGAGTTCTTCAAACACCACCGCAGGCGCCGCCACCACCACCACCACCACCAAAGTCCCACAAATCTCTCCGGGAATCCCCTTCCCTCCATAAAGTTCCCACCTTTGAGGTAAAAAATCTCATTTCAATCCATTTAATTTTCGTATTATAAACATCATCTATTTGACGATTTCAGGCACCGAAACAAAGTTCTTCAACAGAAGAATCATCAGTGACGTCACCAAAAACATTGTCTTGCTCCTCGCCTTACTGTGAACCGATCAACATGGTCCCACTGCCGGAACTTATCGCCCCCACCACCGCCACTCCCACCACGGCGGCCACAAGCTTGCTTATCTATGACGACATCCAGCCACTCTGCCAATACCCCTGCAACGTGCCACCACAACCAGTCTTACTACCACCTTTCCCTCATGCTCCGCCTCTTAAAGTCGAACTCCCATCACCACCGCCGCCGCCGCCGCTCGAAAACCACGACATTTTCACCCAACTTGCGGACCCTAATTTCTTCGCCGTTTTTGGGCAAGGGGGTTCTTCGGAGATGGTGCCATACCCTTACATCCCACCAGGTATTCATGCCGGAAGTTAAGTATCTTGGTGAATTATCGCTTTTGTTTGATTTACAGAAAGTTTTGTGTTGCAGGTGGTGAAGGAGAAAGCGGTGGGAGCTGCGGGAGGCAAGAGAGTGGTGATCCGATGATGATGGCGCCGGATACGTTCATTGATGATTTTCCGATGGATATGTTTGACCATATCGAGCCGCTTCCGAGTCCATCCGAGTGGTGACGTGTGAGTTAGGGGTTTTAGGGGTATTAATTTGTTGTTGTTCATTGTATTATGAACAAGTTTTACTTTTTATTAATGCTTTTTAATGTATGCCACATAAAGACTCGTTGGTGTGTGATAACGGATAATCGAAATGGTTGCTAACAATCTTTTTTTGTTTTTAAATGATGATGATTGGTAATTGATCCTCCCTTCCATTTTGCTTTATTCTCCTTTTATGTATTTTCTTTAATTTTCTTGTTTGTTTATGTTTTCCTTTTTTAATCATAGTACTGTTCGGAGAAAAAAAATCTAATATATAACCCAAATTATGATCAATCTCCTAAAAATCATAACGACCTCGGTTGGACAACGAGACCGGAGAAGTAATCATTAGTGTATCCACGATCCATTAAACTCTATAAAGTTAAATTGATTGTCACATCATCCATTAAACATCTATATAATGTAACTCACAACCCATTACACACCTATTCAATTCTAATCACCACTTTATTCATTCTATCGAACCATTTAATGATCATTTAACTCTACTCTACATTATCACCCATACTTCATTCAACTCCTATTCAATCCTAGCTATCACCTTATTCAACTCTTATACTATTTTCATTGTGGATGCTCTTAATGGCCTGTACAAAGACCAATATGTCTGTATCTATCTGTATTGGTAAGAACCTTTTAGCTTTCACTCGCAACAAACTATGTAAACTCCTACAAAATTACCAAGACGTCTTTCACATAGGGTCCATCCGACTTTTTTAGAATGTAATTGAGTTGAAACTTTTTTAGAATTTTCCTTTCGAATCCGGAAATCTTAGTGATCCTTTTCCGAGACCAAACTTCTTTGAGAGGAAGTGTGTTCTTGTCGTAAAAGGTCTCCAGTCTTTCATGTTCAGTCCAGATAATCATTTGAGGATCATTGTAACATCCCAAAAATACGAGCCAAAAATTTTTATTTTTAAAATCATATAGTTAGTAAAACATTAGTAATAAAACATACACCTATCATATCATTCATAAAAGTGTGCGTGTCTGGAAATCAGTTTATAAAAACATAACAACATCAGAGTACAATCCCCAGGAAGATCTCATAGTGCGGAATACAAAGCGTGTGTGTGATGGGCCGCTACCGCGCCAACTCTTTCCCCTTCGAAGAAGAGATACCTACAACTAAAACTGAAAACTGTAAGCACAAAGCTTAGTGAGTTCCCCCAACATACCACATACCATACAATCACAATACATATATTGTCAGGCATATCTGGGTGCCCGACCTGCCCCTTCGATCATCTCAACCGGATACTGTCTAGGATATCTGGGAGTTGGCCTCCCCTTCGGTCCTCTCGATCGGATACTGACCAGTATATCTGGGAGCTCCCCCCCCCCCTTCGGTCTTCTCGACCGGATACTGACTAGCATATCTGGGTGCTGGTCTCCCTTTCGGTCCTCTCGACCGGATACTGGGGACTAATTCATCCCCCTACTACTACCACATAACACATATATCTCATAATCTATCTAGCATGATTGGGCATGACCGCCCCTTCGGCCCTATCGACCGGTATACTGGGGACTATCTCCCCCTACTGTGTGACAATCGTCAATCTTGAGTCAAGCCAAGTCATCAAGTCAAGCCGGTCAACTCTATTAAACCTTGTGTATTAGGGTTTGTGTTATGTTCATACAGTGTAACTTGCTATATTAATGGGAAAACCTCACTTGAGAAAAGTCTTGTGTTAAAAATTTCCTAAACCCTAGTTCTAATCAATGAACTAGAACGATAAAACAATGTTGCATGCTCATCGGGAGTGTGTAAGATCCTTAAACAAGGCTTAACAGGATTCACGAACCATACATTTCGATACCGGATACTCACAACTATCCCACAAGAAATCTCTCTCAATCGTTTCCACACTATCTCTCTCTATGTCAAATCTCTCCCAAATCCCTCTAAGTATGCGAAATCTCTCTCAAATATCTCTCTGTATTAGAAATCTCTCCAAGAATGTCAAATCTCTCCCAAATCCCTCTAAGTATGTGAAAACTCTCGCAAATATCTCTTTGTATGAGAAATCTCTCCAAGAATGTCAAATCTCTCCCAAATCCCTCTAAGTATGCGAAATCTCTCTCAAATATCTCTCTGTATTAGAAATCTCTCCAAGAATGTCAAATCTCTCCCAAATTCCTCTAAGTATGTGAAAACTCTCGCAAATATCTCTTTGTATGAGAAATCTCTCCAAGAATGTCAAATCTCTCCCAAATCTCTCCAAGTATGCGAAATCTCTCCCGAATCTCTCTCAAATAGTTCCCGTCACTTTTTAGAATCATTCGGGTCATTCCGACGCTTAACCGTGTCAAAAACAGCTTAAAACGGGGTAAAAACGAGAAAAATAGACATTAGGAACCGAAACCTTCTGATGCGGAACCGAAACCTTCTGATGCCGAACCGAAACCTCCTGAGCCGAACCGAAACCTCCTGAGCCGAACCGAAACCTCCTGAGCCGAACCGAAAGTACTGTTCACCAAACGAACCGAAGGTACTGTTCACTACTGTTCACTACAGTACGTTCGGTTCTGACATTCTCGCCTCTTATCCCGAACCGAACCCCAATGACCCTTCGGACCGAACCCTCGCCCATCGCTCTCGCGTCTGACTCGCCCCTTTCGTTTCCCTCTGTTCGTTTCCGGCTACAGTCCTCAGTGTGGACCGGGTCTCGGCCTAGGGACCGAACCTCGGCCTAGGACCGAGAGGTCTCGCTGGGAACTCATTTTCTCCCGGTTTTCGCGTAGTTTTGCGTTTAAGGCCCGTTTTTAATTATTTTAACGTGGGAATTTCACCCAAAATCATATTTTAACATAATAAACCCTAAATATTCACAATTTAATCATATTTTCATAAAAATCTTTATTTAAATAATGAAAGCAAGTGGGTAAAGTACAAAGAGGTGGAGTGTTGACTTTTGCTTTACCTTCTAACACAAGCAACCACTCCCACACCCACTCTATGACCAGCCACACCCCCCACCTTACCTAGGTCACATCAATGTCTTTTCCACTCAATTATCCTCTTTCCCACGTTTTTGGGTGCTGAATATTCATCCTCTCTCCTCACTTCTCTCATTGGCTCTCATTTCACAAGAAGATCAAACTCTTTCCTCTCTCACTTTCTCTCTCTAGAAATTCGAGATTAAAGGGCTGATCTTGAGTTTTTCCTCCACATTTGGTAATCATAATCCATTCTCTTTATGATTATCTCATTTAATTCCACTCAAATCATGGATAACTTAAACAAACTCTCTCATAATTGTGTTAGATTTTCGAATCTTCAAGTGATTCTTCAAGTGTTCTTGGGTTGAACACTTCTCTTCTTCAACACTTACCTACTGAAATCACTTAAGGTGAGTCCATACCCCTACATTTTCATGTTTTCTCATGTTTTCAGGGGGGGAATACAAGTTAAAACACTAAGAACATAATTAAAGTTTTCTAACAGCCTTCATCAGAAAAGTTCAACTCCATTCACGGACTGTTTTGGGCATCTTAAACATTTTTATTTTCAAAACTGTACAAGGTGCAAATAGTTCAAGTTTGTAGCTTTAAAATGACTACTTGCACATCTCCATACGATTTTTCTACAATTTATGGTGATTTTTACAAAACTGCCTATCATTTTAAACAACAATCCGGACCAGTCTGTGATTATGGACATTTTCACCCAAGTTGGAGGTCATTAAAAATCGTGATAAAAATTATGAGTAAACTAGACACATTTTGTGAACTCTCAAAATTTACGGATCTAGTTTTCGACTTTGTATGATTTTTCTGTGATTTTTACAAAACTGGGCAGAATTGCTAAAGTTAGCCAACAACATGTAAATATCATAACACTTTGTAATATGTTGAGCAAAGTGTATAATCATAAGTTCTAATATTTGAATGTGTTTCCTTGTTAGTTTATCATTGTGAACTGAAACTAAGTCATTCATATTAAATATTATTCATTCATTTAGAACACGTATTATGTAACTATAAAAAGTATAGTTGGATAAATTCACAACACTAATACATTTCCATAAGAAGAATTCATACATATTATATACATTTTAGATAAACTATAATAGGTATAGTTTATGATACATCACTCAACACACTTGTACAAAAAGGGTACATTCATACAAGAAAGATTTATATCCACACACATTTCACGTAAACTTGTTAACCTATGTTGTGAGATTCTCTCTCCCCGTACGTCCGAGTGCGGGATATAATTCCTGGTAGTTATAATCAAAATCTCCCTGAGGGAGAACGTGATACTTGTATATAGATCTATATTGGGTTTGACACCCCACACCTTGCTGCTAGCTACAGTGGGACCTGCAGGTCTACGGGTGACAAATGTCATTTCATTATCGCGACGCCTGAGAAACGTTGTGGCAGGTTCACATAGTCACAGTATGATTATAGCGACTCACCTAGGGAGATAACAATTCATAAAGTTTACGGGGTTTCATAAAACCGAAGTAGGTTTTAGATTGATAAAGAAATTTACTTTCCATATCATTTTAAACTCACGACGTTTCTACTAAGAAATGATGATTTCTTATACATTTAGTCTTTGGTTATAAGGCTACATTTTTCGGATTTCAAGGAAAATATCGGATTTTTCTGACACAAACGCGACATTTACATGTGATAGACTTCTACTAAGTTTATTAATAAAAGCTTATGAACTCACCAACCTTTGTGTTGACACTTTTCAAACAACTCGTATTCTCAGGAAAACACTAAACAGGTAATCAAGTGCTTTTGAGGATGGGACGTTAAGACGTCAAACTTTTCATATTTTGTCAACATATTGTAATTGATTTTGAAACATGTAATTCATACAAGTGATGTAACTTTTTCAATTATATATATGTTGGTTGTGTTTGCTTAAATTACTATTGAAATTGTGGTTATGATACTATATATGAAGTCCTCCACCCCCGGACGTTTCC